GAAGGATCCATATGGAAAAAAAGGTTTAATGTCTTTTTAAAAAAAAAACCTTCATGGCTATTACAGAATCTTATTACCTGAAGAATGAGAAAAATAAAATGGAATGCTGTAAGCCATAAGTCTTAACTTTCGAGACCAGTGTGTTCTTTGTATTAAGCAGGTAGTTTTATAGAAAACTAACCACCTTGTCAGTTTCTAGTCTATACATCATTCAGCATTGCTAAGAAAAGTTGAACCAGACTAATGGGTTCAATCACAAATAGCTAAGATAAACTTGTTCATTTTTCATTATTAGTTACATTTCATTTTATTTTTGTAGATTTTAAGTTTTTAAAATATTTTGTATTTAAATCCCAGTTAGTTAACATACACTGTAATACTAGTTTCAGAATTACATTTTATTTTAAGGGATTGTGAAAAGTTAAAATCTGCAAATTGGAACTTCCAAGATGTTGGAACCTGTAAAATTATTTTATATCCTAACCACATTTCCTTACTGTCCTGTCCTTCTAGTCTATTAGTGATGGATGTTAGAATAGAAACAAAAAGTAGACAGTGATCATTTCAAATTTCTTTTTATATGGTGGATTCATGATTCAAACCAAGAGGCCAGTGCAAAACGAACAAGCTGAAAAGTCAATTAGGAGTATCCTGAGTATACTTGTGTGCACTTCCCAAAATACTTACATAACACAGATATACTAGTTTGTTGGTACTGTAGTTGTTGATGCTGATCTGCCTCAGGTTCTTCAGGTTCTACTTGTGTAGAAACTGAAGCTGAAGTGGTGGAAGCAGGAGGCATGCCAGTGCTGGCAGATGGGATCTGCTTGACTCCTGCCTGGGAAGTACTTGATTGTTGTTCTACCTGCTGTTTGAGACTGTTCTCTTCCTGCTTTCTTTTCTCTTGCTCCTCCCGCACCAACTGCCGCTGTTCTCGTTTTCTCTTAATTAATGACACTCTATCTTTGATGGCTTTTGCCATGGTCTTGTGATCACCTTCACAGACATACCCAGACTCTACCTAAAGGATAAAAGAGTGCATTAGGAAGCAGTATGACATCAAAAGAAAACAAACTAAATATAAAACAAAAAAAGGCACTTCTGGGGAAAGAAGTAGGAGTAAGGGGGAAGAGAAAGACCTCCACAACAACTGGTCTTAACCAAACTGTGAAATTACTTGTCTGCATTATGCATTTCTCATTCATTTTTGTAGATACTCACAGGGTGGGTGTCATCTCTGTAGAAACTCAAGGTAGGGTATACTCTCACTTCTTAAAATAATAAACAATAAATAAAGCCAATAAGGCTCCTTTTATTCTAGTCACTCTATTTCCTGCTCACATGTAACTATTAATATTAACCTGGGTTGTTTTTACTTCTTTTCCCTAAGCAACAACTTAACCAGATAAAACAACTGTGATCAATACATGAAAGTTAAACACACACACACAAATCTCTCAAAGTATAAAAAATTAACAGTTATAATAAATACATTTCATACCTGACCCCTTCTCAGAGGCAACTTCTATTGAATAGTTATTAAAATTCTAGTAGAGATATTCTATGAGTATCTCTGCATATTAACTATTTTAGGCAAGCCTGTTTGTTTTCTATAGTTAAGAGTCTCTTACAGTTTCTCTCCCCCTGTTTCCATCTTATTTTTCCTTCCCTTCCCATTTGTTCATCAGTTTTGTTTCTTAAATTCCACATAAGAGTGAAATCTTTGTGATATCTGGCCTTCTCTGAATGGCTTATTTTGCTTAGCATAATGCCCTCTAGTTCCATCCATGATAATTTACCATTTCTTGAGCAACATCTTCTGGCACATCTCTTTCCAAGTCAAAGGAAAACTCAATAGCTTCATTGTCTTTGTATTTTCCCTTTAATTTCTTAATATCTTCAATACGTAGCCATAATTTAATGGCTATCTTTTCTCCATCATCTTCTTCTGCTAATTCTACCCGTACCCCTGTTTCCTCCTGGAAGAAGGCATGGTTCAAAAGGTCTTTGATAGAGTATCTTCCAAAGAGAGAGAAATGAAACAAAAACAAAATGACATTAGATTGAAAACATAATTTTTAAGTGTGGCTAATTATTCTAGGAATAATAAAGAAAGGCTGTAAAAAATAAAAAACAAAGGAAATGTTATAACTCATTTCTATATTGCTCCATGTGAATAGTGATTGTAGTTTTACCCTCAAGTTATACAACATCACTTATAAATAAGAGCTGAGAGCAATACTTTTTAATCTAAGTGATCTAATCTCATATTAGTTAACAATGTACTAACAATGGCAAGTAATATACAGAATGTCATAGCTTCAAAATACCACATAATTTATGTAGAATTTATAGTTAACAAATATTTCTCTTTTTTATGACCCTATCTGATCCTTGACCAACATCCAATGAGATATTATTTTCTGATTATTAGGAAACAGAGGCTTAGAGAGGTGAAAATCTTGCTCATAGTTATAAGCCTCAAATGGTTGAATCAAAATTTGAAAGTAAGTTTTCTGATTTCTAGTTCTTGACCTTCTACTACAACTTCATTTACCACAATAAATTTTCTTTTAATTCCTTGTTCGACAATTTGTGTAATAGGCAAGAAGTCTGATTGTAGAATAATCTTTAGATAAATGGTTTCAAAATACCAGTAATCTAGTAAACTGTACCATCCAGAAAAGAAACAGAGTAGTATGTTCTAAGACTGGAAACAAATATTCCTTTGTTTATAGTAAAAAAAAGTTCTTAAGAGAGATGAAGGACTCTCCTTTCCAAACATTGTGTATAAAATTAGAAACCCAAACTAAATTTCTACTAAACAGCCTTAAAGATCATGATGTTAAGCTCTTCCAAATAACAAAGTTATGAAAAGAGTATGAGACTGGAGAAGTGAAGATACTGAATTCTTTAATTTGGTTGATACACCTTATCACTCACATTGTTCAGGAGGTAGATTATGCTCAATTTACAATTTATATTTATACTTGCTAGCCTACTTTTTCTTTTTTGGAAAGTGAGTGGGGATGGTAAGGGTAGATTATTTTTTAAAAACAGACACTGGATCTTTGCCATGCCTAGCGGGTGATGAATCAGCTATATGACAGATCAGATACTTGCCACTCCTCTGAGAAAAGTCCTGTTAGTACAAATGACTAAGCCAAATCTCCTCCTAAGCTTTGGGCAAAGGTGTCTCTTTTTACTGAAAGGAATGCTGATGTTTTGCTCTTCAATTCTGGCATAATGACAGCAAATCAAGATGTGTAGTTGAGCTGATTTTAAAAAGCCAAGATTTTATTTCACCTTTTATAGAATTTAAGGGGTAAAGAACTAAGCAATAGATCTGGCTAGAGAGAGACTGAACCCTACTGAGTTTTATAAACCATGCTAATGCTTTGTAAGTAGTTTATGTTTTATAAGTAGGTCTCACTGAATATAACAGCTATGTTCAAGGTGGTTCTGGTTCACTTAAACTCTACCATATCACATTTTTACATTTCACTCTATCAAATCTCAATACTATCTTAAATGGACAGAACTCTTCTTTTTAAAAAAGATTTTATTTATTTGACAGACAGAGATCACAAGAAGGCAGAGAGGCAGGCGGGGGGGGGGGGGTGGGCAGCAGGAAGCAGGCTCCCTGCTGAGCAGAGAGCCCAATGTGGGGCTCGATCCCAGGATCCTGAGATCATGACCCAAGCTGAAGGCAGAGGCTTAACCCACTGAGCCACCCAGGCGCCCCTATTTTATTTTATTTTTAAGATTTTATTTATTTATTTGACCAAGAGAGACACAGTGAGAGAGGGAACACAAGCAGAGGCAGTGGGAGAGGTAGAAGCAGGCTTCCTGCTGAGCAGGGAGCCCTATGCGGGGCTGGATCCCAGGACCCTGGGATTAGGACCTGAGCTGAAGGCAGATGCTTAACAACTGAGCTACCCAGGTGCCCCTATTTTATTTTTTAAGTAAATTCTACACCCAGCGTGGGGCTTGAATTCACCACCCTGAGATCAAGAGTAGCATGTCCTACTGACTGAACTAGCCAGGCACACCCAGAACTCTACTTTTAAAGATATTTACATGACATAAATAGAGAAATTAACCACAAGTAAAGTATTAAATACACTTTAGACTGAATATTGTATTCAGAGGATATCATTACATCTTAGGTTTTTAGGTAATACCTAAGTCCAAAGTGGCAACCTACCTTTCATCTTTGTTTTGCCGTATGCATCCTTCAATAATTTCCTTCACTTCAGGAATTGCTACTTTGTCAAAACTGGCTGGCTTCACCCCCTGAGAAACATGAAAATAGCAACAGAAACAGATCAGTAAAGGTAAGTTCTTTGAACTTTGATTCTGAATTGCCTACAGGAGCTGGTCCACTGCAGGGACAGAGTTGTGTAGTGGCAATTTAGCTCCCATAAGAAAACAAGGAACAGTCAGATAGTGCGGCCACTTACTTCCATGGGCTCCACATATAAGTAAGGAAAAACTGAGGCTGTTGTCACTATATTCTGCTGTGTTTCAGGTAAAGGAAGTTACCGGCTAAAGAGAAGGCCCAAATGTTCTAAAAGGTTAGATCTTTGTGCAGCCTTGTTCCTTAACACATTAATCAACACAGTATTTAACTACTTTGAATAGTGAATCCATGAATGGGCATGAATTCACATGCTTAGTTTGGCAGGTATTCTATTACCACCGTACTCCAACAAACTCAACAAGTATAGGAGTTAAGGATTTGGATTGGTTTGGCATGATAAAAGAACAAATTGTCTTGTACATATGAAACATAAAATGAAAAGTGATAGACTCAAAAGATGATTTCTCATTAATTTCAGAAGAAAACTCAATACCACTATAATATGTAATACGATATAGTATTCCAGAAGTATTTTAGAATCTTCATAACATAAATTTTTTGCAAATAAAAATTTCATCAATGTGTGGAAAATATATGTAAGATGTAACAAAATACTCTTGAAAGGTGACATGGAGAAAAACGTCTCATTTTCTCTACCCACCCTAAGTAACCACATGGATTGATGCAGCTGCACTAATATACTGCCCAAGTAGCACTGCAGGTCTCTAAACACATAAAACACAAGGAATGGGAAATAAGGGAGAGGGACTAGAAAAGTTAGAATATAGTATAAAGTTTAATCATCTACAGTCTCAGTGATAAGACAGATTCAGAATTAGTGATAATAATTTGGTAAATCACAGAAATGCATATAACCTCTCATAGACGGAAATGAAATGCATCAAATGGTTAGCACTAAAAAGTCTTTATTTTTTTTTTTTTTAAAGATTTTATTTTTATTTATTTGAAACAGAGAGAGAGAGATCACAAGTATGCAGAGAGGCAGGCAGAGAGAGAGGAGAAAGCAGGCTCCCCGCAGAGCAGAGAGCCCTATGCGGGCCTCGATCCCAGGACCCTGAGATCATGACCTGAGCCGAAGGCAGAGGCTTAACCCACTGAGCCACCCAGGCGCCCACTAAAAAGTCTTTAAATACTGGAGTTGTGATGGGATAATTCTCATCAATTTTTTAATTGCATTATTCAAAACCCCTGATTTAGAAGATTCTACCTCTATCTCTAGGGCTAACTTTCTACAACAAGAAACTGTCAGTAGGGCTGGCCCTAAAGTTAAATCCATGCATTTAAAAGGTTAGTTTCTTTCTTTTTTAAAAAAGATTTTATTTATTTATTTGTCAGACAGAGAGAGAGAGAGAGAGCACATGCACACAAGTCAGAAGAGGGACAAAGGGAGAAGCAGGCTCCCCACTGAGCAGGGAGCCCAATGTGGGACCCTGGGATCATGATCTGAGCCGAAGGCAGATGCTTAACTGACTGAGCCAAGCAGGCGTCCCTTAAAGGTTAGTTTCTAAGTACTGACTAAAAGGTCACAATTTTCCTAAATCTTCTTATTCTTATTCTTATTTTTCAAATCCAGCTAAGTTTTCCCAACTGGTCTTTGTCGTCATACAATAATTCTAATGAGAACAAGAAAATAATGTTGTTGAAGCTTAAAAAGCTGCTTTAATTGAGCAAACTGGTATGGTATTTCAGACTAAGGCTTTAGAAAATATGAACTGTTTTAAGAAAAAAATGGATGACACAGTCTAAAAGTCCTCTGGTAGTAAAAACACTGGAGATTTTGTGTTGTTTTTAATGTTCTACAACAAACATGTAAAACTGTGTAAAAGCAAACTTTAAAGATGCTATTTATAAACATAATGTGAAGAGCAATCTAAAATACCTCATATTAAGTCTGCAGAACATTCACTATTGGCAAGAATTATCTAAAAGAATGTTATCTTGTAAAATTGGAACACTTATACATATTTGGCCTTTGCAGGTAAAGACAACTCAAGTATTACAGGAAAATGGCTAAAGAGAATATAGAATATGATTAGGAGAAATGTTTTTTCTATAAACGTATATATTTTAGGGGAATGCAGTTTAGTCTTCTGGCAGTAAGACGACATATGAATAAAACACACATGCATTGATTATATTAAAAGACTTTCCTGTTCTGATTTATAGGCATCTTGGAAAGATGATTTCAGATTCCTTGTCTAGCAAATGGGGATAGTATCTGTACAACTTATATTCATGGCAGCTAGAATCAGACGTAATATCTAGATTGAAAGCTCTCTGAATTAAGTTTGCTGATCTAAGGCCACTTTTGAACTCAGAGGCAATCTCTAAGGATCAGAAAGCTTAGGGCTAAAAGGAACCAAAGAATTCTCTTGGAAAAAGAATCACCAAGATCTATAGTGAACCTACTTTCAACCTTTGTTATCGTTAAAAATAAGTAATACTTAAAAAAAAAAAAAAGTAATACTTTTGTTAATCCTACCCATGCAAACATATTTACATTCACTGCTCTACAAACAGGAATTTCTACTAGCTGAACAAATGAGCTATATAATGTCATAACAGCAAAACCAGCAACTGTCAATCACATCTACTAGGTCAAGTTGCTTTCCTAACCTTTCCAAGACTCAAATATAGAAAATTCCATACCAATGCTATGTAACATTCTGATGCCACTGCCAACTTAAAAAATGTATTTCAGGTACCAAGGGAGCCAATAAAACTGAGATACACCTTACCAGCAGATAGTATTAAAAGATTAATGCAGCTTACTGTTACCCACTTAGATAATGAAAAAGGTAAAAGAAATTTCAGCTACCAGTCAACTACCATCCAGAAGCCAGGATTATCAAAATATCTGGCTTCTGAATCATTCGAGAAGCAAGAATATATGAGGATTGTATACTGAAAATGACCCTCAAAATGTAAAAATGAGCATGAAACCTCATTAACCCTGAAAGTGACCTACAGAAAAGTTATCTGGGACATATAAGAGAAAGCTGCTTAAAATAAACAAGTACAGATTTTGATACATTATCATACTTACAGGCTTCTTATAATGAAAGAACTCAATATATTTAAAAATATTTTTGGTAACTGATGATTTTTTAAATCAAAAAATGATCCAAAATTACTCTAAAACATGATTTTAAAACATGATTTTAAGCACCAAAGTAATGATGAAAAAATATTTGGTAATATAAAATTCTGTCTTAATCTTTTCCCCTTTTAGTTCATATACTTCAACAAAGATGATCAACTTGGAGCCTTTAAAATCCTCCTAATGTCCCCTCTTTCCTTTACTTCCTGATTTGACCCCACTAAGTACTATTCTAGTCCAGTTCTGACCAGTAAAGGCAAAGTTTTGCTAACTTATTCTAAATGAGATTTAAAAACACAAAACAGAAGAAAAGAGTACTAAGGTAGATAAGTTAGGTTAATATTTTACACATAAGAAAAATCTGGTTAGAGACATACCCCATTCTTCTACAGCCAGCAACCCACTGGCTCTAGAAATATTCTTGCTTACTTTTGTAATTCATAGGATCTCTCTTTAGGCATATTATGCTATGTTGTTTTTTTTGACATGGGAGTAGCATGTTTCTCTGCACTTAACAAAAGTACTTCTTGAGCATCTAATGATATCAATTTACTTCTGAGTTTACACAAAATTATGTATTCTCTTAAAACAAAGGCCACTTCTGTGCAATTTTAGAGTATTAAAAAAAAATTGTGGCTCTGTCCAAAGTCACATTAAGAGCTGATATAATTGTTTACAAAATGTTGATTTGAACTAAGAAAAATAAAGAAGACGTACGTGTGTCTTATACACTTAGTTTTTCTTTTAATTCTTATACTTATGGTTTGCCAACTAATCTGCTGAAAAAATAAAAGTGAGTCATAATGTAATATTTTCTGGTTCAATATTCTAGCTCTTAAAATGGTCAGCACTTTTTTTTTTAAATAAAGATTTTATTTATTTATTTATTTATTTAACAGAGAGAGAGAGAGAGAGAGAGAGAGAGAGAGGCAGAGAGGCAGAGGCAGAGGCAGAGGCAGAGACACAGTGAAAGGGAAAACAAGCAGAGGTCGTGGGAGAGGGAGAAGCAGGCTTCCCGCTGAGCAGGGAGCCGGATGCGGATGCGGGGCTCAATCCCAGACTCCAGGATCAGGACCGGAGTCCAAGGCAGAAGTTTAATGACTGAGCCACCCACGCACCCCTGCACTTGCTTCTTAAAAGTTCAGGTTTCAAATGTGTCAGAGTAACATTTATTTGTATTTTCACAAAAGTAAAAATTTTCCTAACCATTTAGAATTGAGAAAAGCCTCCTTCCTCCTCATACAAAATGTAGTGAAAGTTAACCACAAAAATTCACGTATTTTAAAAAACATTCTAAAGTAAACAGTTTAATATTGCTACATATATTACCAAATGGCTATAATATACCTTTTGTACATATTCGAAATTCTTACCCACCTCATTTACACAATCCTTTTGAGGGCAGCAGCAGCAATGAGAATTTACGATGACAAACACTGAGCAGAAGTCTTTCTTTGTTAAATCCATCACAAAAGGCAAAATAGACTTGTTTATAGTTAGAAAAAAGGGGGGTAACTGATAAGATGAAAATTAACAGTAAATTAGCCTACAGCATAAGCAAGGCAGACATCAAAATCAGACTGAAGCACAGCTTCTAGTTTAACAGTAGCCATGCTTCTCCAACTCTCAGACATGAGTTTAACTATGCTCAGCCAATAGTTCTAGATTGGCCCTTTAAACAAACCTACATGCTAAACGGCAGGGAAACTGTTCTGCTCCTGCTCCTACTTTTCCTCCAAAAGCAATGGATCCCAGGACAAGCAAAGTGAGATTTTTACTTGGTCAAAGCTCCACCCATTATGTTCACAGGTT